GGTGAAATACTTTATTGCAGCACCTATATTTGATGGAAAGAAAAAAGACAACAGAAGAAACATTTAGATTAAAAGAACATCTACTCGAGCCAGCACCAAAGCCCATACATCTTTACCCTTATAGTACAAGCTCGTCAAGAAAGACCAAGTCCAGGTAATCTGACTTGACTTTCTAAGACATTCTAAGGGATGTGCTTCTGTATCTATGCTTCTACTTTTTTCAAAAATATGTTGTTAGACTCCTCTAGTGAACTGATGGCGTAACTTGTTCCACAAAGGGAACAAATCATACCATCTACTTGCAGTTTAAATTTGCCTTTAGCTTTGTGAAAACATTCTATCCTTTTGAAGATATAGGTATCTTTATTACATTTTAATTATCAATTATAAAGAATCTAAAATCTGAATTTTAAACCCAAAAATTGGTATGAAGAGAGTTCATTAAAGTATACATACAGAGAAAAAACAAAAACATTCTGACCCACCTACAGATTAAGAATGATATTACATGTGTGCTCTAAAGGGTTGAAACAGATACACAGGGACCAACTAACCTGTAAGTGGTAAACGATGGTGTGATTCACTGGTAAAGTTCCGTCTACAACTTGTCTTAAGTAATTTGCCACCTCGCTGAGCTGTTTATGGAGACCTCTCAATCCCAACAACTGAGTGGTGATTCTCTGACCAAGGGAGCCAACGACTGTATCCTGTAAACAAATACACTTCTTAAATTTTTGATGATCTATATCCTGGTAACAGATTCTAAAATGGATTCTAAAATATCTTTTCATGGAAAATTAACTGTGAATATATATCTATATCTATATATTTTTTTTCATCTTTTTATATATTCATATATTTTATTCATTTTGTTTTCATTTCTTTAATATAACCTCAAATGACATATCAAGTAACACTATTTCATACATACCTTAATGTCTCTCAGGAGATGCTCTACACCAACTTCTTCAGCTTCCTCTGCACCAATCTCACTAGCTACGTGCTCAAAAGTCTTTGTGGTGGGGGTTCCGTCCTGTTCAAGGAAGAGAGACACGTCTATATTTTATTTTCTCCCCCTCCCTCCCTCTCTCTCTCACACACACACAGACACACACAAGCATACACACACATAGTATTATATTCTTATTCTAGACTTGTACTTTTCAAATCATTTTTTCTTATCCATTAAGGTTATCAAAATGTACAAAACAAAGTTCAAACTGTGAAAAACTATATACTTACATCGTGCACCTCTTCTACACTGTAGTATGCCTCTGTGGGAAGGCCGATGTTTGAGGCATGGGCATCAATGATGACCAACACTGAGTTGTTGCAATACCGTCTGACCAGGTCATTGATTGCAATATCATTCTGGTAGAGCTTTGGGCCAGTGTGGTACCACCCAACAATTTTCTCACGTGCATTGACCTGTAATAATAAACATTTAGCATAGGACATCATGAAAAACTTATAATAATGGCCAAATTAAAGCAATCTAAAATCAATGTAATCAAAGGAAGTGTAATATGAAAATATATCGAAAAAGAACATATAAGTGCAGGAGGAGGAGAAGCAGTAGTATCTTTATAAAATGGCTTACCTTTTTGAACATGTGGTATTTATTTTCAAGGTAGTCATGGTCAAGGAACCAGACTGATTTATCCTTCTCATCTTCATCGAAGGGAACTGTAACAAGAGCCTTTTCTTATTAACTGATACCAAGAGGAACAAGAAAAGAATATAATCTGTTGCAAATGTCTTGTTACAAATAACAAGATATTTGCTTACTCACGGCAACTTAAATTGTTAGGTTAGGTTGGGTTTATTGGTCAGGATATTTTGGGGGGGTTTGGATGTTATGAATTCCTGTAGATTTTATTGAAAGATGGACTGGATTTCTGTAGTGTTTTTTGTGTGCTGGTTATATGCAATTTTGTTCTATTTTTCATATTTAAGCCGGTTAAACCCCTTAATTTCCCTGATATACTTCATGCCCTCCCCTGGTATAAGGACTTTGTTTTCTAAGTAAATGGTACTTAGAAAAGAATCAATGCTAAGAATGGACCAAATCATTGGATTTCCTGCAGAAAAACTATTTCTTTCGTATTTGTCTCTGGGAGGGTGCGTCACTATCAGTAACAATAAACCGATTCGAATGAGCATTGCAACTGCACCTAGTAACAAGCACTTAGTGAAAACAAATCCTCATTCATTCAAAAACTCAATGTACATGCTTAGGGATTCACTGCATTTATCCAAGATTTAACATATTTTGAGTGTAAATGCTGCATTGTATAGGTGTTGATTGTTTGAACCACAATATGATAGGAAAGAAAGAACTAGCCTTTCACGTATTCCCAGATCACGAGAAGAAACCCACAAAATGGAAGCAATGGGTTCAGGCATAAACGCATAAATACAGATGAGAGCGTTTGAGTGCTTGGTGGAAAATATGTTAATATTAGAAATAGAAAAAGTGCAATAAATGAATATATGGATCAATAAAACTCTTATCTTCATTAAAATGTTCTAAACAGAAGAAAACTTATTTTCCACCAAACGCTAAAAAAGCTCTCAGCAATTACGTGTTTCGTAGCCTGAACCCAATACTTCCAATTTTCAGGTTTCATCTGGCAATCTGGGAAAAAGTGAAAGGTCTTTTACCAAGCTCTTTATGACAGTATCAGTTTCATCCTTTTCTACAAAAAATATCATGAATCCTTAATGAATCCTAATGAGTGGCATCACATTCTCTTTCCAGACAGGATTTGATAATTTGGACTAAATATAATCCAATGGCTTTTGAAATGAAAATGATTTCATTCTTTACCTGGGCCCAGATTCACTAATGCACTTACGATGGAAAAATCACTGGTAACTATAGTTAGCATGGTAAAAAGACAATGGTGGTATTCACTAACAACTTGCCATCAGAGTTACCATGGTAAATTTTACCAGCCGTCAGAGCACTGGTAACTTCTGGGAAGACGATGTCATCACGTGTTATCTCTCAAAAAAATCAATATCTAAGCAAAGTTTTGGGTTTGTATTTACAGCTGCTGTAACTAATATGATGGGAAAAGATATCACAATGCAGAGATAGTGAAGAAATACAAATTTCACATGAAACTAGCAAGAATAAAATTCACACAAATTCTCGTAAAATTAAAGGCCTACACAATACTAGAATACATGGAACTGATAAATAAGTAAACTCTTAAAGAATTCTTCTCTGACATAATTATTACAAATGCTATAGAAAAAACTACCTTGCTGATATATAAATTGGCAATACCAACGCTAAACCAGTATAGCAATATCTGTGTCGGCACTTTGACAAACTCCTTTGACAACAAATGGTGATAAATAAAACTTTTGTTTGGTCCGATTCTTTGTTTAACAATGCTGAAAAAATATAAAAAAAAAAAAAAAACAGTTTGGACTATCTCTTTGGTTTGAGGTATTGGTTCCTATCTACACAGTAAATATATGTCCAACATGATGGATATAATCCACACTGTAGAGTTTGGTACCGATGCAAAAATAATTTGGTCAAATTCTGTCCGTGTAAATGTAGGTCTCGGGTAACTTTCCGTGCACACATAAAATTCTTTTGGCCTTTCCATGCACTTGTTTCATCATCTGTCCGCAGATTACCTCAGCACAAATAAACAATACTTTCATGTAATCAACCTGTTCGTTCATTTGAATTTAAAATATGAAAGTGAAAGTGAACGCCAATGCGCCAATCAAAGATACATACAATTATACTACGCTGGGGATCTCCTGCAAAGCATCACATGACTTCCACAAAGGCTCAGTTCTGTTAACAAACTGTTTAATACAATATTGATGACCACTGTTACAATATTAACCCTATCTTCGTGATAGGTATTCAAAAAAGAATGATCAGATTTTCGTGCAGATGTAGACAAATTGATGTTTTCCACGCATGAAAAATGTAATATTCCCTGCACAAGAAAAATACTCTACAGTCTGGGATATAATCAAATATATTCCTTTTTTCTACATGTGCTTAAATAGTGCTTCAGCTGTAATTATTATTTAAACAATCTCAGTGTCTAGTTCTGTTTACAGGTTACGTGATTGGCTGAAGAAACAAATGATTAAGTATAACGCTTGCTGATTCATTGAATTAATTTACTAGTGCCATCTGTTGGCTACCATTAAAATGAGTCAATTTACGATTGTAACTCAACATATCCAAATTACCATGTCTTAATGAATCCCGCTTTGCCAGCACTGGTAAAGGCAATGGTAAATGACCCCTGGTAAATGCGTTACGATGCGTTACGTTAGTGAATCCGGACCCTGGAAGCCATTGCGAGATGGTTAGTAGGAATGCCCTTAAATTCTGATAACTATTATAGCCCTGTATCCTGATTAAAATACATGAAGAGAGGTAATGAAGTATATATTTCCTCACCTGCATACGAGTTTGAGACGTCAAGAACACCTTTGGATCTCCACGAACCAAGCAAGACGCCGACAACCCTTTTTGTGCTGCCAATTTTGGACATTCGCGTGAAATGGTCCACTACGCTCAGCAAGACGAGCGGGTGGACCACAACTTTGTTAACAGGCAAGGTTTCCGTGGTCATCGCGACGAATTACAAGCAAAAATCCAGGAGAGAATCGGCGCCTCGATTTCGCTTCCTCGCCAAAAAGTTTGTTTTGATTCGTCACTCCGGCAGAACGTCGACTTGAACAACAGATTTGCCTCTTTTCGTTTTCTGGCGAAAGAAGGGGGCTTTGGGATTGTATCTACAGATTTTATTATAATTCTTACATGAATATTAATACGACGAGTAATACATGCCTATATTTGCTCTCTTTCAGCAAGGGATACTTAAAGTCGAGGGAATATGTCAAAAAGTGTGCCGAAGAATTACCCAATAGGAAAGCAGTTCGAAAAGGCTCTGAGTAGTGATTGGCCCTTCTTCGTTCAGCCAATAGACAAACGTTTTTCGGACAATCAACGTTCTCATTGGCTCATCTTGTCATTGCCAAGTGTCAAAGCTTTCCTTCCGAAGAGAAGTGGCAATTCGTAAATAATTATCCAAATAATGAATAAAACCCACATCAGCTCAACTCCAGGACGATTAAAGAAATGAAGTGGCAATTTATCGAGACCACACCGCAAATCAGATCCAAGAAAGGACGCATCCCAAGAAAGGAAACAAAAAAACAATGTTTTTATCGGATCGATTTTCATAGCAATGTTTACGAGAGTCAGATGATCGCGATGACAGACTCTCAGTGATCAATAATGGACGTATTATTACTCTTATTTCCGGGGATTACACGAAAACCAGAACATGTGAAGGTGCAAAGACGGAAGGGCTTTCACCAGTGTTAATAAGTGTTAGATGCTTTTTGTCCTGGAGCAGAAGGAAGAAGAAGAGGAAGGTCTTCTCGCTCTCAGGTGCTGCTGTCTTGACCCTTTCTCGCTCTCTTTTCCCCCCCTTAACTGTTATTTTCGGTTCTAATAAGCCCTCGAATTTCGACTTCCGATTTTCGCCTCACTCAAGATCCTCAGCAATCACTCGTTTAAGCTCCGCCGCTGGCTTGAACGGGGAAACTCTCATATGTGAGTTGATCAGTATTCTGTACTTGGGTGTCTCGTGATTGCCTGGGAATGAATTACTGAATTTATTTCCTTGTGATTTCGGGTTTATTTCCTTGTGTCTTTTGCCTTTTGTTTTGGTATATCTTTGTCCATTGGAGGGCATTAAATTGTATTTAGTGGATTAGACTGACAAGGATTGTTTAGCTCTTTAATGGTCTGCTATCATTTCAAAAAGGGGTTGATTTGTGATTAAGGTGCTTATTGGGTGTATCATTTATTATTGATAGGTAAGTGTGATGTGTGTTTATATCCTCATTTTTTGACTAGACATAAGTGGAATGATTGCAATATGATTTGGTTAGTGAAATATATGATTAGTATTTATTTAAGGTTGATAATAGAATTGTTCCCATGTTAAATACCCCTTTTCCTCATTGAAATTAGTTAATTTGTTTTGCAATATCTCCTTGTTGTTCTGAGGTTTAGTAAAAAAAGATATATGCAAGGAATATCAAAGAATGCATATGCAAATGAATAATTTTTGAAACATGATTAGAATTTAGGTTATCATATTACATACCCACTGGCACTTTCTTCATTATTATAGTTGTTATATGACTCTAGCACTTTGTGCCTGCTTATTCATTACATTTTTCCATTTTGTGTGGAATATAAAAAAGAGCATCAAGAACTACCCTTTCCTTTTCATTTGCATTCATAAATCATAGTCATGTGAGACACTGGAGACAGAGGGGCACACCCAGTTGTATAGGCACAAAGTCACAAAAAGATATATACAGTAAATTGCAATTATTTAGCATTGAGTACTACATATTTTTTTTTTTTATACTTTTGCATGAATATGCATAATATACTTTTATTGCTCAGCAGATTTCAAGGATCAGATAGACAAGCTTACAACCCCAAAATGGTGTAGTGACAAGCAGTCACTGCAGCCTACTTACTGTGTGCCACAGCAAAGGCCAACAAATCATTACCTTGTATGTTCTAGCAAAATGAGTTTAGTCTGCATACTTATTTGACAGTAAGTGTATCATAGCAGAATATAGGTATAGTTTTTTTTTCTTCACCTGATCACAGAAGTGCAGAGGCTGATGTGAATAATGTAAAGCCGCCAGGGGATTTGTGGGTGTTTCAAATCTTAAAGCAAGGACTAAGATAAGCTTCTTTGAGAAAACTTAACACAACACAATTAACTGTAGAAATCAGTACACAGAAAGTGGAGGTAGGCCCACAAGCACTTACCAAAGATGCATCTGTAGAGACTTGAACTTGTCTATCCAAGCATACATACCTATAAAGTAATACTTTTATTTCCAAAGGCTCTAAAGCAGAAGAGTAGCAAGCCTATGCCAAGAATATTCTGACAAGGTAGTGCTTGTAGACTAACCAGGTGATTTGCTGTCAAATAAGGAAAGTCTAAACTCTATGATGTTGAATACATGTCAAGTTTTTTTTTACTTTTGCTAGAGTGCCAGAGTGCCAAAGGACTCTTGTCATAATCATAGGCTCAATTATTATCAGTTTTACTAACTGATCCGAATAAGACCACAGGATCTTTATGCTTTATAAATTATCAAAGCCAGCAGACTAATATGTATTTTACAAGATTTGATAGAGATGATCATCAATAGATATTAAATTAGTTGGGAGGTTGACAAGATTTAATTTGACAGAACATTGTTAAGATTTGTTTTCTGCAGCCAGACCATGAATCAGAGACACCACTGTATCAGAAATTCATAGATTATATATGCAATTGTAAGTATCTTCTCTTTCTACATTAATATGAATACCTAATAGTTTTGTTTAAATGCTGTAATGACCAATACATAGGAAAAATCACAATGGTAGGAAATGAATAGAATCTTCAGTGTTATAGAATACCAAAACTACTGATGAATAATTTCTGTCAATGTTTAAAATGCAAAAAAAAAAAAGGAAAATAGGTTTCATATAGCGACGTATATATATTTATATACCTTTATAGATAGATAGATATAGATATATATGTGTATAGATTGAAAACTATTAAAGATAAACTCTGGAATATTTATGATTTGACCTGTTTAATGTTTCCTCAGCTAAATATTTGTTACATTTATTGACTTTCCCCCACTGTTTTTCTTTCTTTTTCTATATATGTGCTCTTTCAAGTTATATATTTTCACAGGTTATGTATTTTATGCCTTTATGCTACAAGGATAAAATGATCAGGTTATAGAGTTATAGGCAATTTTATTATTCTTGATATAGAACAGATGGACATCCAGATTCTGTAAAATTAAAAAAGGAAGTCAAAAGAAGTATATCAGGAAGGATTTATATATATATATATATATATATATAATATATATATATATATATATATATATATATAAAGAAAAATTAGATTATAAGCATTCTCATCTAATACATTTTAAGGGTATATATATATGAAATCTGAACTAAAGTGAATTGTATGACACTTTAATTCAGTCCCTGTCTTCATATCAAGCAGTTTCATTTTAATTTGTGAAGATACCAGGTGGCCTTTAATGTTTTGTTGCTGTGATTATTATTAACATAGTGTGATTATGGTTATGAATATTTATGATAGTGATATCATCATCATCATCATCATCATCATCATCATCATCATCATCAATCTTAACCCAATGCTACTAGGAAAATGTTCATTTTACTATTGTTTTGTTAAATGTTTCTGCACATAGATGGCTCTGCCAGTGCTTGGACACAAAGGAGTCAGTTAGATCTTGTGACCTCGCCTTTCCTTGAAATACCAGGAAAACGCTCCCCGCCCCCCCTAATGCTATCAATATTGATACTGTTATTTTTGTTATAAATGTTATGATTAATATATTCTTATTGACATTACTAACAACGGGTTTAAATAGTAGAAAATATTATAGAAAATCAAGGAAAAGGGTAAGCAGGTGAGACAGGTACTTCTTGTAACTGTCTCATTTGTGACCTAGTATTTGTGGAGCCATCTGTATGTAAAAATAGTTCTGAAATTAAGGGGCTGTCAGCACTCTTTTAGGCGTCGTTCGTCCATTTTGCAAAATTTGGGCTGAGTGCACTTTCAAGGAGTTTCAGGCCCTCATATTTTCTCCTGAAAATGTCAAGGCCCGACTGCTGATATTTAGGTGGTAGCAGCCCTATTTGATGTCAACCGAAATATTGACTTCTTTCACCTTACCTTAGAAAATTGGCAATTGTAACACAATGATTAGAGATAATAAAAAAAAATGGGATTATTCTCTGAAAGCTTATTAAATTTCACATATGATGAGACAAACCTTAATTTTTTTGGAAGAATTAAAAAAATCTGGCAAGTGTCCAAAACAGAGATAACAAAGAATTTTTCATACAAATAAATAAACATGATATGCCATTTTTATGGAGTATTTTATTTTCTTTATGTTTTTCATCATACATAGGTTAATCTATGAGCAAAACATTTTGAAAATGCAAAATGTTTTGCTCATAAATCATATGCACCTGCCATGCCCAGCAGCATGTAGTTAATTATTATCATTATCATCATCTTCATCATTTTTATTTGATGGTTATGATTATTGTTAGAATTGTTAGACTATTTTGTTATTACTGTTATTATTAATATTTTGTAGATATTATTATCATCGTGGTTATCATCATCATCATTGTTATTATTATTATTATTATTATTATTATTATTATTATTATTATTATTATTATTATTATTATTATTATTATTATTATAGTTGTAATATTATTATCATTGTTATTGTTGTTTGTGTAATTGTTATTATTATGATTATTATTGTTATTGGTATTATATTATTATTATTATATTATCATTATCATTATTATTACTTTTTAATTATTATTGTTGTTGTTATTATATTATTATTGTTGTTTATTATTATTATTATTATATTATTATTATTATTATTATTATTATTATTATTAATTTGTTATTGTTATTATTATTGTTATTTATGATATTATTTTATTATTATTATTGATATTATTTTTATTATTATTATCATTATTGTTATTATTATCAACATCATTATTATTATTGTTATTATTATTGTTGTTGTTATGTTTATTGTTATTATTAATCTTTGTTGTATTGGTATTATTATTGTTAATTTTATCATTGTTGTTGCTAGCATAATTATTGTTATTATTATTATTGTCATTATTATTATTATTATTATTTATTATTATTATATCATCATCATCATTATCATCATCATCATCATCATCATCATCATCATCATCATCATCATCATCATCATCATGTCATTATTTATTATCAATTTTGTTATTCATTATTATCATTTTATTATTATATTATTATTATTATTATTGTTATTATTGTTATTATTAGTAGTATTGTCATTATTGTTAATACTAATGTTATTATTTATCATTTGTTGTTATTGTATTATTATTATTATTATTATTATTTTATTATTATTATTATTATTATTATTATTATTATTATATTATTATTATTGTCATTATTAATCATTATTATTGATATGAATATCATGGCTTATTCTTATTGGTGTATTAATATTGTCTATGGTTTATTGTAATTAGTCTATCATTGTATTTATTATTATTATTATTATTATATTATTATTGTAATTATCATTGCTATTGTTGTTGTTATTATTATTATCATTATTTTTTTATTATTGTTAATGATTATTATTTGTAGTATTACTATTACCATCATCATCATCATTTCATCTTTACTGTAATTATTATCATTATCATCATTGTCATTATGATTATTTTTATTATTATTATTATTAAACATTATTATTGATATAAATATCATGATTTATTGTTATTAGTCTAATATTGTTATTTTAGTTATTGTTAATATAGTTATTGTTACAGACATAATTATTATTATTATTTTTTTTTTAATTATTATTATTATTTTTATTCATCATCAGGATTAGTTTAATTATCATTATTATTTTTATTATTATTATTATTATTTTATTGCTATTATCATATCATTTTTTTTTTTTTTAATTCTTATTAATTGTCATTTCATGGCTTCATTGTTATTGATATTATTATCTTTTTTTATTATTTTTATATGATTATCATTGTTGTTATTATTTTTAGACTATTATTTTTCTATTTTCTATTTTTTTCTTTATTGTTTTATTGTTTTTTGGTCATTGTTAGTGTTTTTGTCAATGTTATTGTTTATTATTTGTATTATTTTTATTGTTGTTATTATTATTATTACTATTATTATTGTTAATATTATTATTATTATTATACTATTATTATTTTGCTATTATGATTGTTGTTATTATTATTATTATTATTGTTATTATTATTATATTGTTATTATTATTATTATTATTATTATTATATTATTGTTATTATTATTATTATTATTATATATTATTATTATTTATTATTATATTACTATTATACTATTATTTATTATTATTACTATTAATGTTATAAATAGTAGTGGTAATAACTACAGTAGTAGTAGTAATAGTAATAGACCACAGCCTGTATTGATATTGTAGATAAAGTAAATCTGCTTAGAATCAAATAGATAACATTATCTTTTTGTAATATCTTTGTTTATGGTTAACTTATTGTTTGTATACTATTATTATTTTTTGTTTTATTATCATAATAGTTGTTTTTTGTTGTTACTGTCAGTATCAGTATTATTATTGTTCCTGTTCTGGTTATTATTAATGTTCATGCTATTATTTTTAATATTATTTTTATTATTGTTTTTGTTGTTATTATTATTTTGATTTGTATTTTTATTATTGTTATTGTTATTACTATTATTACTGTTGATATTAATGATTATTATTATTATTATTGATATTGATATCAACATCATCATAAATGTGATGATTGATTTTATTTAATTATTTTTTTTTTCATCATTATCATCATGATCATTGCCATCATTATTATTTGTTGCTATTATTATTTTGTTTATTACTATGGTTTGTTGTAGTAGTTGAGTAGTAGGTCTAGTAGCAATAGTAGTAGTTGTAGTTATTGTCATTATTATTTTTTTTTTTAAGTATTATTATTTTATTATTATTATTATTATTTTTTATTATTATTATATTATTTATTATTATTATTGTTATTATTATTGTTATTACTATTATTATTATTATTACTGTTATTGTTGTTATTATTTTTTATTGTTATTGCTATTCTTATTATGATGATGATGATATTGATGATTAGACTATTACTATTATTAATCATTATTATTATTATTATTGTTACTATTATTGTTATATTGTTTTTGTTATTATTATTGCATTTTTCATCATTATGTTTTTCATTACCATTTTTATTACTTATTATTATTATTATTACTATTATTATTGTTAATATTACTACTACTATAATTATTACTATTATTATTATTGTTATCATTATTATTGTCATTATTGTTATTGTCATTATTATCATTATTATGATTTTTGTTATTATTATTATTGTTGTTGTGCTCTTATTATTATTGTTTGTATGTAACTATTTCATTTCCATTATTATTATTATTAGCATTATTTTTATTATTAGTGTTGTTATTTATAGTAGTAGTAGTAGTAATAGTAGTAGTACTTGTACAAATATTATTAATATTGTCATTATCATTATCATTATTTTTATAATTACTACTATCATAATCATCATTATTCATTATTTTGACTTTCCTCTTTTTCTTAGCTACTTATATTTACATTCCTGTATTTATTGTTATTATTTTACTGGTACCATGTGTCACCATGAATATTTTTAGTGTAGTATGATTCATATTTTTATTTTTGTATGTGTGATGGGTTATATGGGGTATATGTGTTCTGTATAG